TTATCGTTATTTAAATCGTGTTCGTGTTGTACCCGTCTTACAAGTGCGTAACATAGCAAATTATACGCAAAGCAGAACACGTGTAGCTCCGTTAGCTTAAAAATTAGAGTGAATTGACCTCTTATAAAATTTAAAGGTAAGATTATTATCTACAGAACTTCATAGGTTTTTTATTATATTTTAATTTTAAAGCGAGTTATGAGTATTTAAAAATTGTAAATTGTTTGTACATTTTAAAGTACTCATAACTCGCTTTAAGGGGGCTGGAGCGTAATCCATTCCAAGGAGTAAAAACTAGGCATTTTATATTTTAGTTCATATGGATCTTGTGAATGTGTTGAAAGCAAATGAACATTAGTGTGTGTAATTCGTAGTACCAATCACGTTGTATAGGGTCATCATAATACGTCTGTCATTTTACCTACGCGCATGCACATGTCCCCACATATTACTTTATAAAATTAGAAACATTTTTTTTCAAAAAATAATTCCAGTGACTTCAATCACTACGCTCCGTAGGATGTTACGATTAAAATTTTGAAAACAGATTTGAATTATTCTCTAAATTATTAAATTAAATTAAAATTTTTAAACTATGCTTTGACTGCCGTACATTTTTCATGTTCTATATCAACGTATTTCAATTTTAACTATGAATATGATCTATTTTAAATTCTGAGTGGAACGATGAATGTATTGATTTTACAATTATGTGTGTTTTTATATTTATTTTTATTTAGTTTTGTGTCTGTGTAAACGATAAGTAGTCGAAATAATGCTTCGATTTTCGACTTCAGTATCTTGTTCGATTGGAAAATATCGTTGGTGCATTGGGGAGGTCAAAATTTAAAACTCCCAGTACATTTCAAAAGCGCCAAGAAAAACAAAAGAAAAATTAAGGAAAAACGGGAATTTTTACGCAAAATCGATTTTTCAGAAAATTGAATTTGGTTTTTGGTGTAACTTTAAAACAAATGACCGTAGATACATGAAATTTTCACTGGTTGTTTCTATTTGCATTTTCTATACACGATAACATTTTCAAAATATTTTGATTTATTTTGAACTGTTTAGGAACATTTTCATTTTTCATTTTTTTTTAGTTTTTTTTCTAGAAATATCAATAAAATTTTGTTTGTTGGTTAAAAATACTTGAAAATTTAAAAGAAGGCTCCTAGTATATTGTTTCAAAGGCAGATGAAAAATATTAAAAATCGTTAGTCACAGTTTTTTTTTATAAGCATTTAAAGTTAAAAATTTGACAAAATATGGAAAAATCACGAAAATTAGCAAATTATTTTGAGTTAAGAATTCGTAAAAATTTTTCTTTTTAAATCTAAGATTTGAAAATGAAACACAAGATTCCTTATAAGATTATCTACCTTTATCAATAAAAAAATCTCTACCGGAAAGTAAAATTAAATTTTTATGAGCGTTTGAAATTCAAATTTTTACAACATTGGATATTCACTCGATTTCTCATGTAGCGATTTCCTTATTTTGTTGTAATTCAAAAACGAATAACTGTAGATACATGAAAATTTCACTGAATGTTTAAATTAGCATTTCCTATACACCATACAATTTTGAAAATATTTTGAGCTATTTACGGACATTTACCGCTTTCAATTTTTTTTAGTTTTTTTTTCTATAAATATTAATATAGTTTTATCTGTTGGGCCAAAGAGTGTAAAAATTTAATACAAAGCTCCTGATATATTGTTACAATACCAGTTGAAAAATATTAAAAATACATAGGCACAGTTTTTTTTATAAGCATTTAAAGATCGAATTTTGACAAAATTTATCAAAATCTCGAAAATTATCAATCATTGTAATTAATAAATTATAAAATGTTCAGTTTGTATAGCTAATGATTGCAAATTTAAAACAAAGGTGTTCATAAATAGATCATACTGTAACCCAAAATTCCAAAAAATATATTAACACAGTTATTTTTTACAGACATTTTAAATTCAAATTTGGACGAAATTACATATTAAAAAACCTAGAATAACTATTTTAGTTTTTTTGTTGTGATTGAATAATATTATTCGTGGGTACTTGATACTTCTAAAGTGTATTATTATATATCTTTGATAGTATCACGGTTTTTGTTGATGTATAACGCGTTATAAGTACCTAATGGATATTGGGATATGATTAATTTGGAATTTATTATAGGTCAATTTTTTGTTTAATACCATAGATATTTATATAATATTATGTCTTATACCTAGACTGACATACCGTCTCCGCTCAGAATCGTTTTTCTTATACAATGATAATATATCGTTGAATTCAAATTTAATATCATCCATTATACAGTGATCCACTTGTAACCTACAGTACAGCAGAGCGACACCCACTTGCCCACCTTTTTAATCTTTTTGTTAGTAAATTTCTAAGTAAAAAAAAAATCAAAATCAAAAAAATGAAATTGTCAAAGCATAGATAATTTAGAGACGAATTCAAATATGTTTTTAAAATTATTATCAGAACATTATATTGATGGTAGTGATTGAAGTCGTGAGCTATGTTTTTGACCGAAAATTATTCATGCTCCAGCCCTTTTAAAAACAACATATTATAATAAAAAGCCCATGAGGTTCTCTAGATAATAATCTTACCTATAGATTTTATAATAGGTCAATTTACTCAAATTTTTAAATTAACGGAGCTACACATGTTTTGCTGAGCGTATAATTTGGTATGTTATGCACTTGAAAGACGCGGACAACACATGGGGGTATAACGTCCTCTTAAAACCTTTTAAATTTTAAAATAATAACTAATGCGGGTAGGCCAGGATACGGAATATAATATAATCAATACTTAGATTGTTTGCATGAAATAAAAGTTTCTACGCAACCAATAAACCTTTTAAATAAATAGATTTTAAAATATGTATTTAGTTTTGCGTTATTTTTCGGTCAATGAAATTCTATAAATTACTTTTTGCGACTTTGCGTTATATTTTGTTTTATGATAATATATAATATATTTTGTTAATCGTTATGTTTTGTTTTGCAGTATTTAATTATTTTTGATTATCGCTTTCTGTTATAATTACGTTTACAAATTGCATTCGTTTTTTGTCAAATATAACGTTATAATCATAACATTATTATAACGTTTTCAGTTTGCAACCCAGCTTTTAGTTTATTGTGCTTAAACATGTTTATATCATTAAATTAAATTTTTTATTTTTATTTGCTTCCACCTGCTTGCCATTGAGACAGCGACTTCGATTCACTTCACCAAATATAAAATTAAATCAAGACTGTCCCCTAAGTGGTTGAGGTTTGTTATCAGCTTAACGGTCAACGACTAAATGATGCCAAGACGGACACTTCCAAGAATAGTAGACTCAGAGTATAGATTAATAATCTAAACAGTATAGAAACGACAATAAATAAAAAGCAATTATAAGAATTATTATTTTAACCGGCATTTAACATCGATAACTCATTTAATTTGTATTTAATCACTTTTATAGTATAATACATTTCTATGAATATTATAATTTTTTCATAAAATATAATATAGGATCTCAAAGTACCTATGCTTAATTGGTCCGGCAATAATCCAAGTGGCAAGTATAACCACTAATATAAAAAGAACAATTTTCCCGTATTTTTCTACAAATTGCAGATTAAACGCTATTGCTTATATATATATATATATAAAGTAACTATGTGAGTTTATAAACTAAAAAGGTTTCTTAAATAGCTATTTCCAATTAATTGAAAGCTAAAAATATAAACTCTATTTCCTAGTCATTATTTATTAGTTATTTTGAAATAAGTTATTAGATGTTAGTCACAATATGAGACTACTTTCTAATAGGAAATTGCTGTAAGTAGGTAGATATATTCGAATTCAATACCTAACTAAAAGTAGTGAAAAACAACAATTCTTTCTGAATTATTCGGTATGGTCACTTTAAGTATATATATTTTATACTGTAGTGAATCACATGAACTTTTCATTTGCAAATTAAGTACATTTATTCATCATAGCAAATAAGAACAATGCACTAAAACGAAAACGTTCGACTAAAAAAAATATGACCATGACACTTGTTCAGTGTTCTTTGGTGATCTAAAAAAAATGAGGAAGTAATAGAAATAGTACCTACAGTTTGTATACGATAGTATTTGTTTTTAAAATATATAAGTATACAACGCATTACTGGTTTTTCTAATTTAAAACTTGAAATATCAGTTTAAAACAATGGTAGTTGAATTTTTGTTTTAAAAATTATAAAATTATACCAAAAACAAAAAAAAAACCATTATTCAAAGTTCTTTCTGTGACTCCAGCAAACATGATAATGGAAGATAGTGTTAAGAAAAATATTAAATCATAATTGTACGGAGTAAATTTAATTAAAAATAATAGTTCTTATATAGACATATAGACTATAACACCAGTAGGTAACAAGCATAGTTTGTAAGATATTATACCTAAGTATATTAATCTATTTTAAAACAAGATAGGTATAAATATTTAAAAAAAATTAACTAAATTAGATAAGTTAGGTAAGTACCAAGTAAATGTTATACATATATGAATTTATAGTCATCTAAAATTTAAATAATAGTAAGGTATATTATAATTAAATATTATTTGATTTTATGTATTATGAAGAAGTAATTACTAATACTTCTTGCTATGGATCAATAGAAATAAAAATAAAATAAAAATTTCAATATTTCTTATTTTTTTTTCTATCATAAGTGATGATTACGACAGTAAGGCAAACAGTGCAATACAACTACAATACCAAAGGGGTGTTTTGAAGTTAACGCATAGTGCATTACGTATTTGCGTGACAAAACATGCAGGGGTTTTATTGTTATCTAGCTATGGTAACAGTTCATATATCTAACAAACAATTGAAATTGTACTTCATAAGCATTAAATAAGAATATAAATGTATAACTTAGTTTATTAGATATTATTGTCAATTAAAACCTTATTAATATTTTATCAAAATGATTTACGGTGGAAAACCAATGAAACCCGTTCCACCGTCTAAAGCTGGTATTTCTATATCTACGCCATTTAGAGGACCTCAACCATATACGTACGGGTTTGTAAGTATATCAATACTTTCTTAATAGAAAATATAATATTTTAGAATTAATTTGATAGATATTTATAAATATTAGTTAGCTAAACAACCGGGAAATGATTACAAAGTTCGACTTCGTGACATAGAACGAATGCGTACAGAAAGGTTTAGAATACAAAATGAAAATGATTTTAAAAGTATATTAAGAGAAGCTCAGCATAAAGAAATGATTGACATGTCAGATAAAAAGTGTTTATACAATCAGATAAAAAGGATGGTTGAATGTGGAATGAAAGCTAACGAACATTTATTTATAGAAGAATGTCCTAAGTATGAACATCTATTTTCAACTTGAATAATACATTAACAATTATTACTACTCATATTGTATATTAGGCCGGAATTAAAAATAGAAGAGGAGCCAGAAAACCCAAAAGTTGTCCAAGAAGATTTAATAGAAAAGACAAGAAAGATTAAAGAAAAAAGTGACGAAGAAGAACGAAAATTAGTGGAAGAAAAACGTTTACAAATGTTCATGTAAGCATAAAACAAAACAAATAATTTATTAAAAACTATTATATACTGTAAATTATTCTTATAGAGAAAACTCTGAAGAATTGAGATTTGCTGCAATGGAAAAACGTAAAAATGATATAGCTCATATAAACTATAAAATTATTCAAGAAAATGATAGGCTCATTAAAGAACAAAAAATTAAGATGAGAGAACAGGCTAATATTGAAAATGCAGAAATATTTAAAAAGCAGGTAAATCCAATATTTTGTATGTGTTATTGGTAGAGTACATTGAATCGACGTTTAAAGTTATATGAACAATATGGCTTACTAATAATAAAAATAATAATAATACTTATACAAAAATATGTTCAGATTTCGATGAAAAATTGTCAAGTTATAAAGTATTTACATTAAATAATGTTAAAATAATTTAGGTACTTTATAATTTATATCTTATTTAAAAAACAAATTGAACTCAAACAAATTTCAAATTAGAGATAAAATGCAAGGATATCATTTACCTATACCTATTTATTATTAGGTACTTATGAGTAGACACTTGTATGCATTTACATATTTTTATTGGTCAGTCAAAAAAAGGTAGTTTATACCAAAATTTGTTTCATAACTTAACAATGCTGTATACGAAATTGTATTTTGTATATCTTTGCATATTATAGTATTTTTGCATTTTCTGGGAATATTTTAGGATTTAGTACATTTTTGAAGTATATTTTTAAGACTCAAAGAATCGAGAATCACAAATTGTTAAAAAAAACATTTGGATTTGTTTCTCTTATATACGTTATAATGGGTAACTCAACTTATTAATAAAAATATATAAGGTTAGTTACTAATCTTAGTCTCTATATAACATGGTTATAAGTTATAACAATTATTGATAGTTATTAGAATTATAATATGGTATATTCAGTGGCGTATATAGAAATAATTTTTGGGGTGGGCTATAGTAGATAGAAACTAGCAATGATCTATTACTTAGAGGCCTACTGTCTACTATATATTTAACAGTTTCTATAAATATATTCGTATTTGTTATTTTTCAACAGACTATGGAATATTATAACTTATAATAGTACCTAATAAAATATATCGTTGTTCTATTTAAAAAGACTGTAATTTCGGAGGGGGGCTGCAGCCCACTATGCCCACCCATTATATACGCCACTGGGTATATTGGTCTAATAACTCATGAAAGAGTTAGGTACACGACTAATTTTATAATACCGCACAAGGCACACTACAACCACAGTATGAACAATAAGCTATTTACATTTTAATATTTAATTGATAATTAATTAATTATTCCTATAAATATGTTTTACCAAATTGGTAAGCCAAATCATGTGCCCAAAACAGAGTATGTAACAATATTTTTTAAGTGTATAATTTCCGTTTACAACAATTATTTACATGATATCAGGCCCTATTATTTGTAAAATTTCGTACTGCACACTTCATTTTATTCTTCTTTTATTTCGTCTTAGAAAAAGGAATGTATTACATACATATATACATTATATATTATATGTATATAATAATTTAACAATGCAATTCAATAAAGCAACAAAATACTTATCTTTTAATAAAAATCATAATAATTAAACAGCATACAATAATAAAAACCTTAACTTGACTTTTTAAAAATTAAAATCATAACAATGCATATTACTTTCTTGATTTTTAATCAAGTAAGTATGGTAATGGAAATGAAAAAAGTCTGAATTTTTAAAACTTCAAGAATTTGTGTTAAATAGGAAAATAGTAAAAATGTATCTCAGTAATGATGAGTAGGTGGGTAATTTAGCTAGCTTTAATATAAAATATTAATAAGAGAGATTTGATATCACACCCAAGTGGTATAACCACTTGAATCCACTAAAACGTTTGCGTGAACTCCAAAATTTCTATATTTTAACTTTTCTCCTAAACTATGATACCTAGCTAGAAAGTTAGTTGATAACTCATTAAAAAGGGATGATCATGTAGACACTAAATGTGGGATTAATTTTTTTTTTTAATTATTTAATTTTTCACAGATAAAAAAAAAAAGAGTTATTTTCTCTAGATTTTCATTTAGCAAGGTAGATCTCCGAAACTGGACAACGGATTTTATTGTTTGGGGTCTTGTTAGATTCACATTGGCTAGGAGAAGTGCAGTGAAGATTTTCAGAATTTCATCTCCAATCGTGAATTCACTACAAAGCTGTAAAGATGAAAAACATCAAAAAACGCCCAATAAAATTTGTTTTAGTTTTTTTTAATGTTCTGTAGTGAATTAACTATTAAAGATAAAGTTCTGCAAATCTTCACTGCACTTCTCCTAACCTATGTGAATCTAACAAGACCCCAAACAACGAAATCCGCTCTCCGGTTTCGGAGAACTATCCCACTAAATGAAAATGGAAATGATTTTTTGTGGGGCTGTTCACACAGACATTTTTCTGGATTCAAACTGTTATACCGCTTCGGTGTGATATCTGTTAATAAATTTAAAAATTTAAAATTAAGAAAGTTTACGTGCCTATCCCTGACTTGGCAAAATTTTTTTTTACATTAAACGCTAAACGTGGTTATAGCCATAGACCTTATACTTAAGTTTAAAGTCTATGGTTATAGCCACGGACTAAGATATTATATACAGGACTGGACACGACAAGGTTGGAGGGTGTGGATGGTTGACCACGAAATGTTATACAACAGGCGGATTTCGGGAGGATATTTTCCTTTTATCATTACTAGCGTTATCAATTTTTTTAAATATCAACAAAAAATATTTTAACAAATAACAATGTTTAAAAATTTATAAAAATTAATTATAATTAAATATGATTTAAATTTTAAAAAAAATCAGGAAATAGTAAATACTCATATTTCCTAGTAGCTGGTATATTATTTAATTTTTCTTTTGTAAACCGTAGTGCACACAAGATCAAATCGTAGTGCACACTTGTGCATTCGTAGTGCACATTGTGTGTCGTGGTGCACATAATAATAGGGCCTGCATGATATCGTTTTTATTTAACTTCAAATCTTGTTGCGGATGTTTGTTAGAGCGATTTCTCGATAACGGCTAAACATACAAGGATAAACTTGGTATATTCTGGAGCCGGCTGATCTCTAGTTTTGCATAAAGAAGAGCTTTTTCCAAAATTTGATTTGATTGAATTTCTTAAGACAATCGCGTTAATCGTATATTACATCTTACATTATACTATATTAATATATTATATTATATCAAGTGCAACCGTAGGAATCGAGTCAATATTATTATTGTAAATTAAATAAATTCAAATAAAATAAAATGTAATAGATAAATACGAAATTGTTATAGAAGGTTTACTGGAGATAATTTAAATTTATTAACGTAACTTTTTGTAAACTCCAGCAGCCAAGAAATATTTTTAAAAAAAATAGGAACCCAATTAAATAACAATTTGAAATTCGTTTCTAACCTAAAATACTATTACAGCATAAAATCTGTTTATCTAGACTCTTGAAAAAGAAGAGGAAAAGCGTAAACTTTTAGAGAAAAAACAGCAGTTTCGAAAGGAATTGTTTGAGCAAGTACAACAAAAAGAAGTAATACTAGAACAACAAAAAGTTTTGAAAGCGATCGAATGTAATGACATTAAAAAATTGAATGAAAAGTTAAATGAAGAAGAACAATTTGGTAAGTATGAAACGACTCAATAAGCATTATTATAAAGTAATAGGTATTCAATAGCCATTCGATTTCTATTGATTAAGTATTTTAGTTTAAATATTTTCAGTAAACGGATGGATAAAAACAAATATTTAGAAATATTTAATTTGTTATCAATACCTAAATAATAATTATGAATTAGAGTAAAAATGGATAAATTGATATGATTCATACTTGCATATCAAATGTTAATTTTATTATAGAAAAATTGGAACGTAAAAAAAAACAATTACAGACAAAACAAGAAATAGCACTATTCACTAAAGAAAGAGCGAATTTGTTTTCAAAAATGAACGAGGCGACAGCAATGTTTGACGAAACATTTAAGATCACAATGAAACAAAATTTAAAGGATGATTCAGCAGACGAAATTGAAGCAAAGGTTTCCACAACAATTTAAGTTTCTGGTTATAAAATACAAATTCAATACATTTTTAAATATTATAGCTTCAGTTAAAACGTGAAAACGATATGTTTAAAGAACATCAAGCAATTATTAAAGAAGAGCGCAAAAGGCAAAGTGATGAAATATCAAAAACCATAATGAAACAAATAAATGAAATTGAAGAGCTCAAACTATCTATCGAACGTGAAAATACTGAAGCACGACGAAAGAGAATGAAGGTGTGAACACACTAAGCTTATTTAAAATATAGGCATTACAATTATTCTTATGTCCATAGGAGGGTCATAATGTTTTAATGGAACAGTTAAAAGCACGTAAGATACTTTTAGAAGAACAAAATGAAGCAAAACGTGAAATGTTTAAGCAGTCGATAAAAGAATACGAAGACTACAAAAAAGAGGAAAAACTACAGTGGGAAAATAAAAAACAATACAAATGGCAGTTTAGAAAAGACCTGAACGACCAAATTAAGTCCAGTAAAGAATTAATCGTAAGTGCTCATTATTCAAAATACGGTATATATATATATATATGTATATATGTATATATATATATATACACAATACGATGATATAATATTATTTACCAATGTACCAATCACAACATGTCAATATCACATGGTCGGTGTATAATATGCACATACCTATATAACTATATTATTAACTATTAATTCGTTACATAATATTAAACCTATGAAAAATTATTAGTTTTTGAATCTGAAATTAAACGTCATTTTATGGCGTATTATCGTGTTTGTTTACACACTATTTTTATCGAGTGGAATTGCAAAAATCCAGATTCTCAGTTAAATTTTGAAATTTTCAGTTGTTACTCAAAATTATAATATTTTACTTCATTAGATAAATATTCTAATTCATTTACATACAAGATTTATTTAATTTAATTGATGTAATAAATTATTTTACTGTTTAGGAAAAACAAAGACAAATTGATTTGGAAAATCATCAAAAACTCATGATGGAATTAGCCGAACAAGAAAAATTACTAAAAAAACTATTATCTGAAATGTGAACTTACAAGTAATATGACTTTTACATGTACACTTGTTCATATTGTCTATTGAACTAAAATTTTTATAATTTTATAATATCACGATTCACGATGGAACTATTTAGTTGACCTTTCTTCATATTAATGTTTATTACCTACTTAAGTAGGTACCTATCTGTATTGTAGTGGGTTTCCATATTTATCTTTTAAATTAATACGAATTTATATTTACTCTAAATGAATATACCTATGGTTTTCATTGTATAAGTACATTATGCCATTATGATGTCATTATTATAGATTCCATAAAATTGTATCCATATAAATATTTGTATATAGAAATTCAATGTAGACTGTTGTAGTACATAAAGAGAATAATATCTAACTAGTAACTGTAGGTGTACAAAGTTTCTAATAAATATTATTTTCATTTTTAAGAACATTAACTATTTCAGTAGTCATTAATTATAAATATTAAATATATAACAACTCTAAAAATGGTGAATACAAGATAAAAGCACGTAGTAGCGTCTCCCTAAGGGTAACACGAGGACTAAAGGTAAGATGAGACATCGTTGTATCTCTAAAACTATTGAGTTTTTTTTGAAAAAAATGTTTAACAAAAAATATAGTATGTTTATATAATATAGTATTTTTTATGTTTTTATTATAATATGTTAATTTTAAGAGGGCTGGAGAGTGAATAATTTTCGGACGAAAACATAGCTCACGACTTCAATCACTACGCCCAATATAATGTTCTGATATTAATTTTGAAAGCAGATTTGAACTCGTCACTAAATTATCTATGCTTTGACAATTTCATTTTTTTTATTTTTATTTTTTTTACTTAGAAATGTACTAACAAAAAGAGTAAAAATAGATCATATTCATAATTAAAATTTAAATACATTGATATAGAATATTAAAAAGGTGGGCAAGTGGGTGTCGCTCTGCTGTACAGTAGGTTACAAGTGGGTCATTGTATAATGGATGGTATTAAATTTGAATTCAATGATATAAAATCATTGTATAAGAAAAACGATTCTGAGCGGAGACGGTATGTCCTTCTAGGTATAAGACATCTGACATATTATATACATATCTATGGTATTAAAAAAAATTGACCTATAATGAATTCCAAATTAATCATATCACAATATCCATTAGGTACTTATAACAGTTATAACGCGTTATACACCAACAACAAACCCTGATACTATCATAGATATATATTATATATAGTAGATTACTTTAGAAATTTCAAGTACCCACGAATAATATTATACAATCACAACAAAATAACTAAAATCGTAATTCTTGGTTTAAATATGAAATTTTGTCTAAATTTGAAATTAAAATGTCTGTAAAAAATAAGTGTGTTTATATATTTTTTAGATTTTTTGGTTACAGTATGAATTATTTAAGAGAATCTTTGTTTTATATTTTCAACTCTTAGTTATAAAAACTGAACATTTTATAATTTTTTAATTCCAACGATTGATAATTTTCGAGATTTTGATAAATTTTATCAAAATTCCAACTTTAAATGCTAATAAAAAAAAACTGTGCCTATGTATTTTTAATATTTTTCAACTGCTATTGTAACAATATATCAGGAGCCTTGTAGTAAATTTATACACTTTTTGGCCCAACAGATAAAACTTTATTGATATTTATAGAAAAAAAAACTAAAAAAATTGAAAGCTGTAAATGTCCATAAACATCTCAAAAAGAGTCAAAATATTTTCAAAATTGTATGGTGTATAGAAAATGCTAATTTAAACATTGAGTGAAATTTTCATGTATCAACAGTTGTTCGTTTTTGAATTGCAACAAAATAAGGAAATCGCTGCATGAGTAATCGAGTGAATATCCAATGTTGTAAAAATTTGAATTTCAAACGCTCATAAAAATTTAACTTGACTGTCCGGTAGAGATTTTTTATTGATAAAGGTAGATAATCTTATAAGGAATCTTGTGTTTCATTTTCAAATCTTAGATTTAAAAAGACAAATTTTTACGAATTCTTAACTCAAAATAATTTGCTAATTTTCGTGATTTTTCCATATTTTGTAAATTTTTGAACTTTAAATGCTTATAAAAAAAAATTGTGACTAAGGATTTTTAATACTTTTCATCTGCCTTTAAAACAACATATTAGGAGCCTTCCATTAAATTTTCAAGCTTTCGCAACCAACAAATAAAATTTTATTGATATTTCTAGAAAAAAAACTAAAAAAAAATGAAAAATGAAAATGTCCCTAAACAGTTCAAAATAAATCAAAATATTTTGAAAACGTTATCGTGTATATAAAATGCAAATATAAACAACCAGTGAAAATTTCATATATATACGTTCATTTCTTTTAGAGTTACACCAAAAACCAAAATCGATTTTTTGGAAAACCGATTTTGCGTAAAAATGCCTGTTTTTCCTTAATTTTTATGTTGTTTTTTCCCGGCGCTTGTGAAAACTACTGGGAAATATTTACTTTTGACCCCCCAAAGTACCAACTTGATTCACTTTCCTATCAGAAAAGGTACTATTGAAGAAAATCGAAGCACTTTTACTGTCCTAAAACGTGATGACAGACACAAAAATATAAAAATATAAATAAAAATATAAATAAAAAGGTGGGCAAGTGGGTGTCGCTCTGCTGTACAGTAGGTTACAAGTGGGTCACTGTATAATGGATGGTATTAAATTTGAATTCAATGATATAATATCATTGTATAAGAAAAACGATTCTGAGCGGTGATGGTATGTCAGTCTATGTATAAGGCATATTATATACATATCTATGGTATTAAACAAAAAATTGACCTATAATAGGTACCTATAATAAATTCCAAATTAATCATATCACAATATCCATTAGATACTTATAACGCGTTATACATCAACAAAAACCGTGATACTATCATAGATATATAATAGTACACTTTAGAAGTTTCAAGTACCCACGAATAGTATTATTCAATCACAACAAAATAAGTAAAATCGTAATTCTTGGTTTAAATATGAAATTTTGTCTAAATTTGAAATTAAAATGTCTGTAAAAAATAAGTGTGTTTATATATTTTTTAGATTTTTTGGTTACAGTATGAATTATTTAAGAGAATCTTTGTTTTAAATTTTCAACTCTTAGTTATAAAAACTGAACATTTTATAATTTTTTAATTCCAACGATTGATAATTTTCGAGATTTTGATAAATTTTGTCAAAATTCCAACTTTAAATGCTTATAAAAAAAAATCGTGCCTATGTATTTTTAATATTTTTCAACTGATATTGTAACAATATATCAGGAGCCTTGTATTAAATTTTTACACTTTTTGGCCCAACAGATAAAACTTTATTGATATTTATAGAAAAAAAAACTAAAAAAAATTGAAAGCTGTAAATGTCCATAAACATCTCAAAAAGAGTCAAAATATTTTCAAAATTGTATGGTGTATATGAAATGCTAATATAAACATTCAGTGAAATTTTCATGTATCTACAGTTATTCGTTTTTGAATTACAACAAAATAAGGAAATCGCTACATGAGAAATCGAGTGAAAATCCAATGTTGTAAAAATTTGAATTTCAAACGCTCATAAAAATTTAATTTGACTGTCCGGTAGAGATTTTTTTATTGATAAAGGTAGATAATCTTATAAGGAATCTTGTGTTTCATTTTCAAATCTTAGATTTAAAAAGAAAAATTTTTACGAATTCTTAACTCAAAATAATTTGCTAATTTTCGTGATTTTTCCATATTTTGTCAATTTTTGAACTTTAAATGCTTATAAAAAAAAATTGTGACTAAGGATTTTTAATATTTTTCATCTGCCTTTGAAACAACATATTAGGAGCCTTCTATTAAATTTTCAAGCTTTCGCAACCAACAAATAAAATTTTATTGATATTTCTAGAAAAAAAACTAAAATAAAATGAAAAATGAAAATGTCCCTAAACAGTTCAAAATAAATCAAAATATTTTGAAAATGTTATCGTGTATAGAAAATGCAAATATAAACAACCAGTGAAAATTTCATGTATCTACGGTCATTTGTTTTAACCCTTTCAGACCCAAAGTACACTGTAGTGTACCGTAACTATTAATAATTACGACACCTGATAAAATTAAAATATCTTGGCGGTCATTGTCTTATTTTCAAGTAGAACTTGTGTAGATATCGAAAAATATAATCATATGTTAACTCAATGTGTTATAACTATTAATTACGTTTGTTTTATCACAAAAAAATTGAATAAGTTTGATAAGAAAATTTTGGATTTTTATCATTTTTTTTTCTAGTGTCACTAGTAATTTTATCGTTCCGTTGATTTTTCCTATAGTCAAAGACATTGTAAATATTGAAAAAATATCACTTCTATCTCCATCTAGCGGTTTGTTTATAATTTACAGCCGTTGGTAACGAAGTACACTGTGGTGTACGCTGGGCCTCTACGACGTCATTCTTTCGGATTCGGAACGATCGGAACGTAAATAGCTCCCACATTTTTTATGCACAGAATAATTATTATTTTTATCAACAATAATGTGCTAATAAAAACTATTATAATATGATAATATAACACATTATTATGTCATACACACACACATACCAATGACAACTCGTTTATCTCTGATTATTGTATTATTATTTAATATTTTACATTATAGTTCGTTATTAAATATATTATATCCGTTATACAACTTATACCTATTCATTTTTATTGGACCTAGTGTAAACAATAAATTAAAATGTTAAGTGATGGTGATATTTTGGCTCTTTTGGGAGATGGTGATGTGTCTGATATAGGTAGTGAAGTTGACGAATTGGAAGATGATAATTGTTTTCCAATTGATGAGTTTGACCAATTGTTAAATGATTTTGACGATTTATCCTCGGACATTTTGCCCGATATAGAGGAGGTTGAACCTGATTTCATAAATACAAATAAACGTGATATTCATTGGGTACAAAAACCATTCGAGCCACCTACTATTAATTTAGAAGATATAGAAAGTGAGTATATTGATACACTTAAAACTCCCATACAATATTTTTCTGAATATTTTGGGGACGATATTAAAAAATATCATACAAAGTAATAATGTAGTTATGATAAAACCTATTTTTAATTATTAATTTTTAATTCTTTGGTATTATTTATTTGTTACGAATTTACTTATAGGTACCTAAAAAGGACTGCTATTTTATTTAATTTTAATTTTTTGTTTTTAGTTTTCATTTGTTTTTATACACAATATGTTTTTATTTTATTATATACAACGTCAAAAACGTATTTTATATTTTACTGATTTTAATTATATCATATTAATTATATTATGTTGTTTACGTATCTATACAATAAAAAAATATATGATTATATGTTTAAAATTGTGTAGTTACATAACTTGAATATCAAAGTTTGTCGAAAAATAGATTTCCGTTAATAGTTATCCCAAGAGGCCCAAGGTACACTGTAGTGTACTTACCTGTAACCTGCTGAAAAAAAAATTCAAAAATTATGAAACTCGCAAAAAAACTTAATTATATCATATTAAACCATATTATGAAGAAAAAAAATTTTTTTTCAAACAACATTAATTTGGGTCTGAAAGGGTTAAAGTTACACCAATAACCAAATTCGATTTTTTGGAAAATCGATTTTGCGTAAAAATTCCCGTTTTTCCTTAATTTTTATGTTGTTTTTTCCCGGCGCTTGTGAAAACTACTGGAAAATGTTTACTTTTGACCCCCCAAAGTACCAACTAGATTCACTTTCCTATCAGAAAAGGTACTATTGAAGAAAATCGAAGCACTTTTACTGTCCCAAAACGTGATGACAGACACAAAAAAAAATATAAAAATATAAAAATATAAAAACATACATCATTGTAAAACCAATACATTCATCGCTCCGCTCAGAATCTAAAATATAAAAACATACATCATTGTAAAACCAATACATTCATCGCTCCGCTCAGAATCTAAAATGTACGACAGTCAAAGCATAGTAAATTTAGAGGAAAATTCAAATCAGTTTTCAAAATTTAAATCGGAACATCCTACTGAGCGTAGTAATTGAAGTCACTGGCAGTATTTTTTGAAAAAAAATGTTTCTAATTGTATAAAGTAATATGTGGGGACATGTGCATGCGCGTAGGTAAAATGACAGACGTATTATGATGACCCTATACAACGTGATTGGTTCTACGAATTACACACACTAATGTTCATTTGCTTTCAACACATTCACAAGATCCATATGAACTAAAATATAAAATGCCTAATTTTTACTCCTTAGAATGGATTACGCTCCAGCCCTCTTAATATTAAATACGTGACTACGTCTTATATTATACATCTCTTCATCGGAAATCAGTTTACAGTTGATTTTATAAATAATACATTATCCTTGTTTGCCAAACATACTAATTTATTGATCTAATGAAGCGATAAAAATTCTGAAAACATTTGAATTTATCGTCAAGTCTACTTGATATCGACTTTCCCCCTAATTTCTAAAAATTTTATATTAAAAAAGAGTATTTAAAAATTGTAGTATTTTAATTTCTGGAGAAGTTAAAATCAAAAATGCGGGAAAGTCGAATTAAAGTAGACTTGACGACACATTCAAATCTGTTTTTGGATTTCATATCGCTTCATTAGATCAATTGGTATGTTTGCAAAGAACCAGTCTAAAATCCTATGTCGCGTGTGTGTTAGACAAAAACAGAAAATTACGGTATCGAATCCCCTTAAGAGGACGCTATACGGCCACTTGTTGTCTTCGTCCAATGCGTAACATAATATAGCAAATGTACGCTCATCAGAACGCGTTTAGCTCCATTAGTTTAAAAATTAGAGTGAATCAACCTATTATTATGAAACTTGATGGTAAGTAGTAAGTACATTATCTGTGTTTGTAGTTTGTATGTGGGTTTTTTACGATAGTTTAACGAACAAGTTATGATCTATAATCTATTATCTATTATAGTATAATTTCCACAGAATACAGATATATAAAAATACTAGATAGACGACTCCCTATTCCTACCATGTAATAATTATGAAGCCAACAAAATGGCCGAAATACTCTTATCTAAGAGGTGAATGTTTACAAAATATAAATTATGATAAACTGTGATAATTTTATGGCGGGAATCAAAAACTATTAAATATGTATTACAAATTACAATATCATTACAATATCATACACTTACTAGTTACAACACGGACTAAGATATACTTATATTTTTAATTTTATAGTATGTCTTAGTCCTTGACTTAAAATTAAGATTAAAAGTATAATTTATTGCAAAAAACGAGAAATACAATATAGATATAATAAACAAGTTTCAAGCTCGTCCAATAAGCACATGCTTGAATTCTAATGATCTGAGTTCATATTAAAAATGAACTAAAATGAAAATAAATTTAACTTTATGTCATGTCATATTCATAGGCGGTACTACGGGGGTGGCAGAGTAGGCAACTGCCCCTCCTGCGAACCGTACCTGTATTAATACATAATTCCTTAAATCTCGGTTTCCTAACTCTAAAAATATATAAATTTTTTTTTTTCAATACGAAATTTGTTCCAAAATATCTGTGAATGATAACACACACTTAAAAAATATTCTATTATTTAATATATTCTGTGATTTTATCATCAACGAATTCTGATAAGGTGATGTGCGTCAAAACGTTACAACATTGCGATGGATAAGAAAAGATTCGAATTGTTAAATTTGTTAAATTTTTTTAGTTTTTTTTTCTATAAATATCAATAAAGTTTTATCTGTTGCGCCAAAAACTGTAAAAATTTAATACATGGTTCCTGATATATTGTTACAGTAGCAATTGAAAAATATTAAAAATACATAGGCACAATTTTTTTTTATAAGCATTTAAACATCGAATTTTGACAAAATCTCGAAAATTATCAATCATTGTAATTAATAAATTATAAAATGTTCAGTTTTTATAGCTAAAGATTGCAAATTTAAAACAAAGGTTCTCATAAATAGTTCATACTGTAACCAAAAAATCTAAAAAATATATGAACACAGTTATTTTTTACAGACATTTTAAATTCAAATTTGGACGAAATTATATATTAAAATCAATATTAACGATCTTTGTTTTTGTTGTAATTTAAAAATATTATTCGGGGATATATGAAACTGAATAATCAAAATATTATGGCCTATCCATACAATCTACCATAGTATAAGGAATAACAATTATGCTCATGATAAGACTGTGCATATTTTAAGGAATTTATTCATAAATTCCATATAATTTAATATTTTAATACCATAGAAAAGTATATAATATGTCTTATACCTAGACTGACATACCGTCTCCGCTCAGAATCGTTTTTCTAATACAATGATATTATATCATTGCATTCAAATTTAATACCATCCATTATACAGTGACCCACTTGTAACCTACAGTACAGCAGAGCGACATCCACTTACCCACCTTTATATTTACAAAATTATTCAATGAGTAAATTGGAAGGGGTTTTATTGGGGTGAAGGGGAAGTCACCCATTAACGACCCCCCCCCCCCATATAGTCAACATATAGTTAGATAGTTTAAATATTTTCTGGCCCCCCCTGCCAAGAGGGTCTAGTACCGCCTATGGTCATATTACAACAAAATAAAGTAAAACAAAAAAGATTTAATTTAATATTAAATATAAGAGAAAATATTATTAATATATATCTTATACTTGGTTAAATTGGAAAAATTGGTTAAATTAATAATGTATTTATGTAATAACAAGCCTCTTCTAATTATTAGACGTTGAGTTCCAAAATAAATGCCAGTAAATGGTATAATTAAATTACAATTATTTTATGATCTTGTATTTATAACCATACAAAGGATGGAATTTACTTGCATTAACTTTAAACATACGGTATAATACAATACGCAGCTCATAAGTTTTGACCAAAAGTTCAATCCTTAAACACATGGTAAATTATATTAGTAAAATATGATTTAGTTTTGTTAAGAATGATTTTTATTAATTAATTTATAGTTTAGGGTAAAACATTGTTGTGTATAGGAGTATGTGAAGCCATACATCAAAATCAAATACAAACATTAAATATAAAAATCTTGATTTAAAAATAATAAACCTATGTAATAATACATTTGCATTCGATAATAATATTTTTAATACACTTCAATGTGATAATGTTCCTTTGCTAGATAGACCCCATAAGATGGTATTTCATTATTAGTTAAAAAATATCTAAGTATTCAACTCCATTCTTTTGGCAAAATGTTTTCAACAGAAATTTTAAATCCTGTTAGTAAAAGACAAAAAATTAACTAAACAAATAATTTTTATGAACCAGTAGTAGGTATAAAATATTATATGTAGTATAGACTATAGGTACCAGTTTTATTTTAAATACTTGTATTATTATTAAATTAATTAATATACTAGTTTTGTTTTATTTACTTGAAATATTTTATATTTATTACTATAATATGTAGCACTAGTATAGATACAAGTTTTGTTTTATTAATTTTAAATATTTTATGATTATTATTATACTAGGTTGTATACCAGTTTTTTTTTTTTTTTGTTTTAAACATTTATTATATTGTTATTAAATTAGGTAGTTTACCAGTTTTATTTTATTGATTTTAAATATTTTATTATTATTATTATACTAGGTATACTACTAGTAGATAGGTAGGTACCGGTTTTATTTTGTTTTTTTTTAAAAATTGTAATATTAATTAAAAAATGTAGTATACCAGTTTTGTTTAATTGATTTTAAATATAGTTTTTCAAAAATAATAAATGGATGTAAAATTTTTAATTATATAATTCAGATTGTTTTTAAAAATATTTTACAATAGAACAAATTTTTATAAAATAATGTAACATTCACATGCACCATTACATAATTTACATAACTGTTGAATAAGCCAAAAGTTGATAATATGTATTTAAGACTTATGTAAGTAAGTTAAGTTATTAACATCATGAACTAACTATACAACTTTAAAGTTTAAACTTATAATTTTCCTCCCTTTTTAACTCAGCCATGCGTATCGCCACTTTTCCCTCCAC